TTTTAGCCCACTATTAAATAGTGGCTTGGTATATAAGAGACACGATCCAATTGATAAAGAGAGCAATGAATCTGGTTGAGAAATCCATCCGTATGCATGAAAAATAGTTTCGAACCTTGTTAAAAAGGTTGTCCAGATACATCGAACAAATGCTGATTTTTCTAGCTATCAAATGCAAGCAAATAGAGCTCAAAGCCCATTTTCTTTGAGGCCCTAAGCATATGAACGAATTTCATGAAACCCTAAAGCATTTTTCACCCTCTCCACACCTATAAATAGGGGTCTCAGTTAAGAGGAAAGGGGAGGAGAATTTTCAGACGAAGAAACGTTGCAGAAAAGCTCTCAAGAACTCCCGTAAGGCTCTGAACGATCCCGAAGAAGAGGAATAGATCAAGCCACGATTTTTGTTAAGAATATACGAATAATCCTTCATGATTTCGTCGATTCTTGATAAAATAAATCCAAAAGTTGAAGAACGTTCGAAGATCTGAAGAACGAAGCTTGAAGATTCGAAGATCTGAAGAACAAGACTTTGAAGATTTGAAGATATGAAGAACGAAACTTTGAAGATTTGAAGATATTCATATTAAGATTGAATCAAGATTCAATTGAAGATCAAGCCACATATCCCGGGAGGCCCTTAAACAGAAGATCAAGCCATAAAACGGCCCTTGTGTTGAAGATCAAGCCATTTGAAAACCGGAGGCCCTTCAAGCTGAATTCTTAATTCAAGAATATTTGAAGATTCAAAGAACGAAGATTCGAAAATTCCAAGAACAAAACTTTGATGGTTCGAAGATACGAAGAACGAAGGTTCGAAGATTTGAAGATCTGACGAACGTTCGAATATTTGAAGAATTAAAGATTTAATTTTGAATTAATTTCTTTATTTATATTTATGTCAAATTGCAAGTGAAGAATCAGAGGATTCATATTTAGAGATTGTACCCAATATTCTCACATATTATTATTTGCGATCAATTTTAAGTAAATACTTAAAATTTGTTTCACAAGTACAAAAACAATTCAAAGAAATTAAAACTACATCGAGATGAAATATAGAATTGAAAAGTTCCAAAGAAACATAACAACTCACCAACTTGTAGAGATGTAGACTCTTCTATCAAGAGTTAATTACTCATATAAGATTAGAAGACTCACCAAATGCTAAAAATACAAGTAATTTTGCACGTAAGGTTTAGTATGCACGTAAGGTATACACACTCTTTTATTAAAGCAGATGGAATTCATAGGAATTCCAATTTTCTGTGTTGCCGTTCACCAAATATTTAGGCAAAGTTTCCCGGCTCCGACTAGGGTTTTCTCCCTTCATTGCTCTCCAAGTCTCAAAGCTCATAACATAATTATTAAAATAAACGAAGTAAATGAACTAGTCATTTTCAACTATTCATGATTAGGAAATTATTATTGTCATAATCAAAATAATTAAAAAATCATAATAATGATTTCAAAGTAATCAAATTAGAATATCCAGATTAGATAATATATTTAAATCAAATCAGATTATAATCATTCAGATCAAATAAATGAAGTTGATCAGAAACAGGTACATCATTACCAGCCTTCGTTTGACAACGAAAATAAGAATGCCTAATGGGTTTTTATGTACTTCAAACCTATGATAATACATTTGCCAAGATGCCTAATTGGTGTCATGCCTTTCTTTTTTAAATTATATTCAATAAATTTATTTCATCTTCCCACCATCTTACATGTTTTGTGGTAGTTTATGAAAAAATGACACATGACCGAAATAAATGTAATAGATAAAAAAGTGATTTTATATATTTTTAATGACTGTAGTAGTAGTAAAACTAGTAACTATAATGATAGTTCTAATTTACATTGCAATGATTATGAAAATATACTTGCACTAGCTTAAGTCATATTTTTGTTCATCACTTTTATTTTGAGTAATAGCTAAAGAAAAATCTCTAGTTTTATCCGTAAGAGCATCCACATTCATGCTACTTAAATAAACTGATTTTTTATGACACGTAGATTTTTTCAAAATAATCTCGCATCTTCTAAATTACATCATTCACCATATCAAAATAATTTTATCTTTTAATTTTGACACTTTCATTGAGTAAAATGTAAAATGAGGGCCCCACATTTCTATAAAATATTAAAAAAAATCTCAATCTAAATATTTATACTCAAATCAATTGATTATTGATTAAAAGAGAATTAAAAGAGTAAAATGACCAACGAAAAAATGGTGAATCTATATTTTTCTTCCTTACTAGCTAACTATATTTTATTGATTAGTATTAATATATAATATTACTATATAATATTAATAAATTTTTAAAAATTTGGGGCCCCATGAATTCGGAGGCCCTGTTCTGGATAACCTATTGACCCCCCTAAAAAACGGCTCTGTCGGATTGTTGCTAATAGCGGAGGAAATTGCTGGAATCAATTGTCAATCGATATAAGCAGATGGCTATTGGTGCGGAGGCTGAGAAATTGGATCTGGACGAGGAAGAAATCGGTGAGACTGTGGCGGCGGAGGTACGGCCGACATTCTCGATGGTTGGCACTATGCTAAAGGATAGGAAAATCTAGTTTTAGATTTTCAAAGATCTCATGGTTTCGCTATGGAGACCGGGTAAGGGGGTATCCATCAAAGAGATTGGTGAAACATGTATCTCTTTACTTTTTATCATAATGTGGATATGAAACGTGTTTTAGATGGTGGTCCATGGCTGATTAAAAGAAATTTGCTGACATTGAAAGAGATTAAACCAGATGATATCCCGCTCAAAATTGATCTCAATGAGGCGGAGTTCTGGGTTCAAGTCCATAATGTTCCTTAAAGCTTGATGAGTCTAGGTACTGCTCGAAGAATTGGTAATTTTATCGGCAATTTTGTTAGATATGATGACAATCAGTTTGAGGGAAAATGGGAAGCTTATTTGCGTGTAACAGTTTTTATGGATGTGAGTAAACCCTTGAAAAAAGGAACATCTCTTAAGAAAGCAGGAATTGAGCACTGGGTTGAGTTTAAATATGAAAAACTTCCCAACTTTTGTTTTATTTGTGGGATTATTGGACATTCTGATAAATTTTGTTTGTTAACATATGAGGACAATCTGGTATTGGAAAAATCTTTTGGGGTTAGCCTGAGAGCAGGTAGTGGGGTAAAGACTACTCCTACAGGAGGACACAAGTGGCTTGTGGAGGGATCCCCCAGTGCAGCTCGGAGTCACTCACTTCAGAAGAATTCCAAGACGGGAGGCGGATCAGGAAGGCATGTCTGAAAGGAATCTATGACTCGCACGGGAGATAGCACGACTAAGGATGGATACTTGGGAAGTACTGAGGCAGTTTCAGGAGAACAAAAGAGAATAAGAATCAGGGAAGCACATGAACAAGAGGAGCCTAACAAGGACAATATGGTTGTCGACAAGCCAAAAAACGGGGAAGAGGCGGGCTCAAATGCTTAAGCCCGCTGAAGGTGCAGTTGCAAAGAGCAGGTTCAGGATGGTGTTTGGTTTTATTTTTGTGGAAGACGAAGCAAGGTTTATATTTCTTCATTATGTTTGCTTTCTTTGGGAGAAAAGGGGCAAATAAGCTCCTGTACTAACAAAAAAAGGTCAAATAAGCCCTTATATAGGAGGTTATGTCCGACCGTCGCCATTTGGGGAGGTTCCTGGTGTAACTTTTGATGCAAATTTTTGAGCATATTATTCATTAAGTCTAGTTTACGCATACCAAATTTCAGCTAAAATTTCAATCGGGAAGGCATTCAAATGAATTCTTGAAGATAACTGCGCAGTTAAAAGCGCAGTTATCTTCAAGAATTTATTTGAATGTCTTCCCTATTGAATTGTTAGCTGAAATTTGGTATGAGTAAACTAGACTTAATGAATAAGATTCTAAAAAACATTCATCAAAAAATTCCACCAAATGGCAACGGCCGGACAGAGCCTCCTATATAAGGAATTATTTGACCTTTTTGGTTAGTGCGTGGGCTTATTTGCCCCCTTTTCCCTTTCTTTGTATCGGGTACTACTATGTTTTTCTTCAGCTTTTTATTTTTATACATTGTAAGAGTTTGGATTTGGGTGACAGGAGACCTGCGTTAACCGTCTTTGGCTTAGTTGTGCCCATTAATGGATCAATGAGTTATATTGCTTCTTTTGAGGTGATTAACTCTGAGTTTGGTTCGAGGATTGGCGGTTGCCAGCGGTCTTTTTGTCCTTTTAACCCTTATGTGTATGTTGTCATATCAATTTAAGCCACCTTCCATCTAAAAATAATCATATCTTTTGTGGCTCCTATACTCACTAATTAACACTAACTTCACTATAATCTTGAGATAATTTGGACTCATACCTTGACCCCAGATTATATTGTCAAATAATCTCACCAAATAATCTCTGTCACCCAATCATATCTGAAAAATAATTTGCCACATCACCAACTTAATATTCTAATAATCTAATGGATGGAGATGCCATAATGCCAAGTAGTATATATTAGGATTGTTTCAATCTCAGAATAGATCAAATCAGATCATCAGATCAAACTAGTTCATATAGACTATATCAGACAAGATCATACTTCAACAACCATAAAATAAACAGAGTTTAGACGTTGAATGCAACGTATCCACAAGTGACGTAGACAAAACAAAAAACAAAAAATAAACCATATCTCTCTGACTTTCTTTAATTTTGACACCTTTTATTCACACATTATCTGAATGTTGGTGAGTGCAAAAAAACAAAAGAAATATGGAAAGTAATAAAGGATTTATAATCATATTTAATGTATACTATGTATACATAAAAAGAAATCATGATACGTGCACGTTATTAAGGATCCTGAAAACGATTTTCTATCAATCTGAACTGTACCATCGGTGTCATGATCTGTCTGCCTCCTTATTTTTGAAGTTCTTGTTTACTAGTAAATGAATTGAACTCCTCATTCTGTCCTTTACTTTACTTAGCTTATTGGTATGACAGACTAGCTAGCTGCACTGCTCCAAGAATATGGCAATCAAGAAAGATGCCCAGAAAATGGCAGAAGCAGATATGAGAGCCCCACTCATCATAGAAGATGGGCATGGAGAAGAACATCCCCAGAAGGTTCAGAGCAAGGAAGGAAGATGGATGGTCTTCTTTAGTACAATTGTTGCTGTCTGTGGTTCTTATTCTTTTGGATCTTGTGTAAGTGGGATAGACAGAAGACTCTCTATATATATGCAGGATTGGATTGATCTTCCCCTCTGATCTGTTTTATGTTTTGGCATAAATGAGACAATCTCTCTGGTTTCATATTTTATTTGCAGGCAGGCTTTTCATCACCAACGCAAACTGCCATCAGGGAAGATCTGCATTTATCTCTAGCAGAGGTAAGTTCCACTTGATTTACTTATTCAGAGCGCATTTGACATTTAACAGATACTCCGTAGTACATTATGTTAATCGGTCGTTAATAGCAAATTCATTCAATAGATTTGACTAGCGAAATAAGTCCGCGGATTACAAAAATGTTTGGTAATTTAGCTATTTGAGCGTAGCGTTTAGTAGGTAATACTACCTCCGTCCCACTAAGGTTGGGACAAGAGAAAGTGTCACGATTATTAAGAAAAATAGATTTTTGTGGTTGATATTAAATTGATAAAGTAAGAATAAAGTAAAAATGATTTAGAGTCACATAAACTTTACCAAATTTAGTATGAGACAATCTTAGTGGAATTTACCGAAAAGGTAAAACGGGACAATCTTAACGGGACGTATGAAATACCATATTTCAAAAAGCTAACTAGAAACATCCATATTCGAGGTGTATTTATCAAAAACGCTAGATCAGAACAACTTTTTATTAAAAGTCTTTTTTTGTTGTGTGTGCAGTACTCGCTATTCGGGTCCATTTTGACATTTGGGGCCATGATTGGAGCAATAACGAGCGGCCCCATTTCTGATTTCATCGGTCGCAAAGGGGTAAGATTTTGTTTTCTTGTGCTCAATCTAAAGTCTAAAAATAGTAAAAATTCAAACTGAAAGTCAATTTTGGGAGTAAACTTTTTAGAGAAAAGATTACAGGTAGTTTGGTGACTATACTTTTCAGCTTATCAAGCTTATCAGCCAATTTTTTAACCAAACGCACGTAACTTTTGATTTCGCGGGCTAAATTATGTAATAATAAGAAAAAATAAGGTTGAAGTTACTTTTGTGGTTGTATTGACTTAAGTTACTACAGAAGACCATTTTAGCTTTTTTCATATAATTTTTTCTTTATTTTATTAATAAATAGTATTTTAAATATAATTTTTTCACAATTCAGCAAAATCTGCCAATAAAGCCACTTCAGCCAGAACTTCATAAACTTCAGCAGAATCAGTTGATTAAGCTAATTTCAGTATTACCAAATGAGCTCTACATTTTCACCACACAAAAAGTATACTACTGCTCCTTTCTATTACCATGCGTTTAGAGACGTATAATTAGCAAAAAGTACTGCGTAGTACATTCCAAGAACAACAGAATTATAAAAGATCTCCAATGCTACAATTTGCACGGTGCACATGTGGCATGAGAGATAACCACATAAATATTGGTAAATAAATTCTTTATCTCCTTATTTGAATGCTTTTATGTAGTTTTGGTATGTTTTTCTTCACAATGTCAAGGAGACCATCTAGATGTTGACCATCTGGGTGAAACGAGTCCAAAAGTTGAGATTAGGTCAAAAAATTAAGTCAAAATGTGTACTCCATTTTGAGTCAATTTCTTAAGTCAAAAAATCCAGCACAAATGTGAAAGAAGATAGCTAGCTGTCGCTATGTATCCATATACGTTTCCCCATCAATAAAACAACTTTGCTTGGTGTACACCAAATGTGTACACCTTTTGTGTACATGTGTCTGTCCCCAGCAGACAAGTTGTCTGTCCACAGACAACTCTACACATTTGGTGACAGACAACACATGTCTGCTGGGGACAGACATGTGTACACAAAAGGTGTACACATTTGGTGTACACCACTCATTTTTCTCAATAAAATCATTGGAAATTGTAAATATTACTCCCTTCGTCCCGCTAACAATGAGACAAGAGGGAGTGACACACAAATTAATAAAAAATGGTTTATGTGGTTGATATTGAATTGATAAAGTAAGAATGATTTGGAGTCACACAAATTTTACCAGATTTGGTATGAGACAATATTAGTGGAACGGACCGATAAGATAAAATGAGACAATCATAGCTGGACGGAGGTATTACAATTCTACATAGTTACCATCACATTAATTTTGAAGGGCAGGTCAAAGCTAAAAAAATTATGTAGTAGATTAAGAGCCCGTTTAGTAATATCAAATCGATTGTATTGACTGATTCTGCTGAAATTTTTAAAGTTTTGGCCGAACTGACTAAATTGATTGATTTTGTTGATTTATTAAAAATTAAATTTAAAATATGCTATCCTCCGTTCTTTAATTCTTGCAACAGTTTGACTTTCACGTTTGCCAACGCACAACTTTGACTGTAATTATATTTAATTATGTATTAGTAAACATTACAAAAATTTGATGTTTTGGAAATTCACATTGATAGCAATTTAATAACATTTTATACGTAATAATTTGATTATGTATATTAGTAGAAAATCTTGGTCAAAGTAAGGTCTGTGAATAGTGCAAAAATCACAATGTTGCAAGAATTTAAAAATGGAGGAAGTATTTTATTAATTAAATAAAGAAAAAACTATATGAAAAATAGCTAAAATGACCCTCTACACTAACTCAGCCAATAAATCCAGAAAAGTAACTCTAAAATCTCAAACCTTACTTTTTCCTAATACTACCTCTGTCCCCCTATTATTGGGACGGAAAGACGTCGTGTGATTTTTAAGAAAAAGTAGATTTATGTGGTTGATAATGAGTTGGTAAAGTGGGAATAAAGTAAAAATGATTTAAAGTCACACAAATGTTATCAAATACGGAGTATGATATGAGACAATAATAGGGGGCATCCAAAAATGAAAAAATGGGACAATTGTAGGGGGACATAGAGAGTATTACACAATTTCGTACACGAAATCAAAAGTTACGCATTTAGTAGAAAAATTGGCTAACAAGCTTGACAAGCCAAAAAACAGGATTAACAAAGAGGCTCTGGAAGAATGTGTCCGCCATTCAATAATTATACTTTGTACTTGATTTATTAAGCAATTGTATGCCTTTCAACTCCATATATACATTTTCAAAGAAAGGCTCCGCCGCTCCGGCCTCTAATTGATAAGAGTCAAATCAATCACTGAGTATAAGTATATTCATTCCTTTTTATTATGTCACACTACCTCCGTCCCAGTAACATTGGGACATTAGGACATTAGGAGGTGACACATTTATTAAGAAAAAGAAGATTATATGGTTGATATTGAATTGATAAATTAGATATAAAATAAGAATGATTTAGAATGACACAAATTTTAACTTATTTGGTATGATACAATCTTAGTGGGATTTCTCAAAAACAGGACAGTCTAATGAATTTGGAGGCTCCATTGTTATATGTAAAATCGAGAATCACATTAATACAAAATATTAAAAAAACTCAATCTAAATACTTATACTCATTAATAAATAAATATCTAAAAGTTACTTTTGCTTGATTTAAAACAACACAACATATTACTCAAGCAACTTAGGTAATAAATGACTAAAAAGACCAATAATAATGATGGATCTGTATTTTTATTATTTACTAATTGTATTTTATTGATTAGTATTAATATATAATAATACTATATAATACTAATACATTTTTAAAAAATTGGGGTACCATAGTTACGGTACACCATTTTTTAAATGGGTACCGGAGTTATAACCAAATTTTATTAGTAATCATCATCAATCAGTAAAGCGGACCCCTTTGTTCTCAGATAAACAAATTTTAACTTTTCCCTACTCTTATTAAATTTAAAGAAGTCATATTTTCGGTTTCCAGTTTATATCCAATTTTTTTATAAAAAATATTATTTAAAACGAAGGTTTAGATAAAAAAAAATTACCCCTGTATTTTCTATCTGTGCATCGCACGAGTGAAAACCTAGTACCTTCGTACAAACAAGTTTTTTTGTTCTCACATACACAAATTTGTTTGTGTATGTATGAGAACAAAAAACTTCTAGGTATGAAGTTTGTGTAAAGGTTTTCCATCATTTTCAATAGAGCGAAAGACTCACTATTTTTTGGCTTGAGAATATGATGAAATAAAGCAAATGACTCACTAAACTGTCTGCGCTTCTTTGTTATGAAGCAGCAGTCAGTCCCGCGATGTAATGACGATGATGATATGAAATTTGTGTAAATGTGTGCATAAAGCATGAATTACTATTCTTGTTAATTTGATACATTCCATTAATACAAACCAATAAACAGGCAATGCGGATGTCGGGCACCTTCTGTGTGGCAGGATGGCTGGCCATTTACTTTGCTAAGGTTGGGCATTAAGTTCAAGTATAATTTCTGCCCATGACAAGAAAATGTGAGTCAATCTAACAATGCATGCATGTGCTTTTTCAAAGGGAGCTGTGCCTATGGACATTGGAAGGTTGGCAACCGGATACGGAATGGGAGTCTTTTCTTATGTGGTGCTGTGACTGTTGTCTATGTTCCCATTTATTTAAAATTTGATCTTCATGTTCTTTCTACCTTATTATACAAAACCTGCAACTACCTTAACCATGATTCCACTGCCTTCATAAAAAGCAGGTACCAGTGTTTATAGCTGAAATTGCCCCCAAAGATTTGCGAGGAACATTGACAACAATAAATCAGGTTAAATAAGTTTCACATAACTCTGAGGTTGTGAGGGTTGGAACATACTTATTATCAAGACTTGGAGCTACACTCTAAAAGGTTAATGTGATAGGGGAAATAACTCAAGGTTTGAACTTTTAATTTTATAATCAGCTAATGTGAGATGACTTATGCTGGAATTTTTGGAATTCATTTGGAGTCTTTATTGGTCTTAAGTTAACTATAGTGCAAAGTAGTATCTCTTCGGTCACTAAGATCTAGGGGGTGCAAATTCATAATACAACAACATCCAAGCCTTAATCCCAAAAGAATCTGGGATCGGCTAACATGAATTGAGCCAAAGCTTTTTATTCATAATCTAGGAATAAAAATTATTTTAGAACATAGGTTCATTATCAAAAGAATATGTTTTATTGGGCATGCCAAAAGCATCTCTCAACTAAAAGATTGATATCGGAAGATTTCAAGAAATTGCTGGAGAAAGTGGGAACAAGGGGAATAGATGTAGTAGTTTTGCATTTGTTTCATTTTCATGCAGGGAAAGGCTATATGTTTCTTGTGGTTGTTTACCTTTATGCCTTAGTAAATTGTTCATTCGTGCTTATGCTACAGCTTATGATTTGCTCTGGAGTATCAGTTGCATTCATTTTGGGGACAATTCTGTCATGGAGGGCTTTAGCACTAACTGGTTTGACTTCTTGGCACTAATGGAAATGATGTATTATTGCTACTACTTATTATAATAGAAGCTGATCACTTGCAGGGATAATCCCATGTGCTGTTCTTGTTATGGGCCTCTTCATCATTCCAGAATCTCCTAGATGGCTGGTGAGATGGAGTGTTTTTTAAATTCAAAAAAGAGTATTAGCACCAACCAACTTCAATTTATATTTGCAAGAGTAGGCATTAAGCTTCACATGCATAAATTGTTTTTCCCGCAGGCGAAAATAGGAAATCAGAAGGATTTTGAGAATTCGTTGTACAGACTCCGTGGAAAAGATGCTGATATATCTGCAGAGGCATCTGAAATCATGGTTGATAACTTCTAAAACTCGGCCTAGTGTCTCGAGCTCACATTCTCAATATATCATAATTATGTGGCAGGATTACATTCAAAGCCTTGAAAAGCTCCCACAAGCTAGATTGCTTGATTTGTTTCAACGAAGATACTTGCGCTCTGTGATCGTATGTTTCTTTGTTCTTGTAATTCAGTTTATAGTTAACATGCAACAACTCTGTTACAGTCAGATTAGTTTATGGTCAGGTGGGAGTTGGACTAATGGTATGCCAACAATTTGGTGGGATTAATGGAGTATGTTTCTACACCAGTAGTATATTTGAGTCTTCAGGTAGATATTTCAAACAATGTCTCTACTGCATTTTACATTTAGTTTTTAACTGTTATGACCATATATACCTTTTCCAGTTGGACATTTTATGATTTCACCGTATTTTCTTTGATTCACAGGGTTTCCTTCAAACGTAGGAACTATAATCTATGCTATTCTCCAGGTTTCAACACTTTTAATCTGGCAGATACACAACAAAAGAATCTGTCATTTGTAATGGACTTTGTACCAGATGTCAGTCACAAGTGGTTGCCGAAGTTCTGTAACAAAATCGGGTTAATCCTTTACAGAACTTTTATAATCGACAAGATCCGTTCGTCACAAATGCTGTTACAAATGACAACTTTCATGTGTTGATGATTGATATTTAGTATGTTGGTCAACCTCATAGAGTAGCCTAAAACGTTATACGCGAGTGAGTCTGTATCGTTATGGTACAAGATGTATGCATGTAGCCTAAAACACACTCTCAAGATACTAGTCTAGCAAGCCAATATTGAAACGTGCGCGTTCATTTTAGTTTTAACCGGATTGATTGCCCATTTCAACCTAATTTATTCTAGCATCATATTAAGACCATGGTAATAGAGTAATTAATAACCATTAATTAGGTTTCCATATTTATTATGTTTCCTATTGTAATCAGGACACTCATTATTATATATATGACATATAGGGCTCCCAATAGGGTAAGGCATTCCATTCATTATTTTCACACATGGGGCTTCATGGTGAATTTGATAGAGGAGTAATACAAAGCTTTATGTGTGACTTTGTATCTTTAATTTTAGTTAGTATGAGATGTCTTAAACAATGATATATGGAAACCAGATATCATTCATTGGGGTATTGGATTACATATATCTGAAATGCTTGCTCATTTTTACCAATTCTTTTTTACTTTGGTAGGTTGTAATCACTGCATTAGGTGCAGCCTTAATAGACAGAGCAGGCAGGAAGCCTCTATTAGTGGTATAATAATAACTAAGAACAAAATGCTATTCACTTAATAGTTGAGACTGTGTCTCATGCAACATAAAGCTAACCTTCATCCCCTCCTTTCCAGGTCTCAGCAACAGGACTTGTCGTTGGCTGTACACTAACAGCCATCTCATTCTTTCTGAAGGTAAATGCCTAACAGTAATGTGTTGCCAGACCTTCATTTCATTAGTGTGATTATGATGTGTAAAGAATGATATTGATGAAATAGGGACATGAAATAGCTGTCAGTGCAGCACCATTACTTGCTGTTACAGGAATACTGGTACACCTTCCTGTCTTTACCTATCCATATCATCCAGATTCATCCTAATACCAGAACAGCTAGCTTTTGTGCATTAAAAGAGTGTATAAGTTTGAACATCTACTCACAATTGTTTGTGGGATTCAGGTGTACATCGGGTCTTTCTCAGTTGGAATGGGAGCAGTCCCATGGGTAGTGATGTCTGAGGTAATAACCTGGAAAGCCTAAAAATAAGTGTTTTTTCGTTCTCTGTCTTCTTACCATTGTGACAATAAAACCCTTCTTTTCTGGTCGGTCTATGACTTTTTCCACTTCTAATACTTACTATTGTGCAAAGATGGTTTTGGGAAACTCTAAAATTTTGAACTTTTAATCTTTTGTTTAGTGTAACAAAGACAATTTTGGGTCAGTCTTTGAAGTTTTCAATTTCTTTGATTGATTATTGTGATAATGATACTTTTTCTCCTCAAATCACTGTGACAATAAGACTTGTGTTCTCCAATCTTTGTGTCAAATTTCAATGATGAGTACCAAAAGTGTCACTGTTACTCTCATGATGACTAAAAGTAAATAAAACATCAAAGAAGTGCATAATAAACAAGCCACTCTCATGATGTCTAAAATGAAAAATTCAAGGACAAGCTTTAAAATATGATGTCTCTATCACAACATCCAAAAACTAATACAAATTAAAGGTACCAAAAGTGTCATTGTCACGATAGTTAGAGGCTTAGAAGAGGAAGGAAAAAGCTTCTATTTACAAATTTCTAAGTCATACTCCAACACTATAAAAAAAAGTCAGTCCAACATTCCAACAATCCCACCTCCACCTCAAGAGTTTTGTTATTTGCTACAGATATTTCCTATAAATATAAAAGGTGCTGGTGGAAGCCTTGCAACACTGGTGAATTGGTTTGGAGCTTGGTTATGTTCCTATACTTTCAACTTCCTCATGGCATGGAGCTCGTTTGGTAGCTATAAAATCTCAACCATTCTTTTTTCTTTTGATGATGTTGAAATGAAAACTTCTTGGAAGAAACAATGTGATGCAGAACTGGTGGATGAGCACTAACTATGTGGATTTACATGGTTGCAGGAACTTTTGTTCTGTATGCAGTTATCAATGCACTTGCCATTTTGTTTGTGATCAAGGTAGTGCCTGAAACAAAAGGAAAGACATTGGAACAACTACAGGCTGCAATCAATGCATAGTAACATTTAGATTTCCTTTTTCTGTTGTTTTATTTTCAAAAGAAATAAATAGAAAGAAATTGCAGTGGTGGATTATTTTCCAAAAATCTTGGTGTAAATTTATATGGATTATTTTCACAGCTTTTTGGAAGCTATTCGTAGTACCAAAAGGTGGAATTCCCAACTCGGAGCCTATGCTCGACCTGAAAGCAAGCGTAGTTAGACATTGAGAGCCCGTTTGGTAGAATTGAAATTGACTAAATCGACTAGATCTATTGATGGAAAAAATTATATAAAAAATAGCTAAAATGGTTCTCTAAACTAACTTTAGTCAATTCAGTCGGAAAAGTAACTCCAACCTCGCTTATTTTGATTATTATACAATTCAGCGGGTGAAATTAAAAGTTACATGTTTGATAAACAAGTTGATTGCTCATAAGCTGAAAATAGAAGTTACCAAACGGACCAACCTGCTCTAAATCATGTTGGGACTAAGTTCGGCCGAAGGCTAAACTAAAAAATTAAAAACCTAAAAAATTAAAAAATTAAAAAACTAAAAAACTAAAAAATTTAAAAATTTAAAAATTAAAAAATTAAAAAATTTTATTATTATTATTACAATTATTTATTATTATTATTATTATAATGATTATTCTTATTATTATTACTATTATTACTATTATTATTATTATTATTATTTTATTATTGTTATTATTAAATAATTATAATTATAATAATAGTTATTATTATTAAGTTATTATAATTATTATTGATATTATTATTATTATTTATTATTATTATAATTATTGATATTATTATTAGAATTATTATTATTATTAGTATTAATATTATTATATACCGGTTTAGAAAGTTAAGATCAGATCAAAAGGATTCAGATCAGATCAGATCAGAAGCATTCAGATCAGATCAGAAAAATTCAGATCAAATCAGAAAGATTCAGATCAGATCTTAAAAAATTCAGATCAGAAAAGATCAGGCGAAGAGAACAGCTTCCAAGTCTCCTTGTGTTCAAATACCTCCTACTACTACACTCCCTCCTCTTTACCTTCCACCTCTTCTCACCATATTATCTCCACTAACTTTCCATTTCATGAGCTCAATCACCCCTTCCAATAATATTTACCCCATATCACCTCCAAATTCAGTACTTCTAATCAACCTCACCCCGGTTACCCGCTCCAGAAATCATATTTTTAAACCCAATCCAAAATATGCCCTCCTCACTACCTCCCCCACATCTGCACCTACTACATATAAACAAGTTGCTTCCCTTCCAGAATGGCGAAATGCCATGTCTGAAGAATTTCAAGCTCTCCAACGTAATAACACTTGGTCTCTTATTCCCTCTCATCCTTCTCAAAATATTGTTGGGTGTAAATGGGTTGACTGGGTTAAGCAAAATCCGGATGGATCCGTGGCTCGTTACAAAGCCCGTCTTGTGGCTAAAGGCTTTCATCAAACATCAACTTTACTGACACATTCAGTCCGGTGGTTAAACCGGCTACTGTGCGGACTGTTTTAACTATTCGTACTATTCAGGGTTGTTCTATTCGCCAACTCTATATGCAACAACCGTCGGGGTTTATTGATAAACTCGGCCTGATCATGTCTGCCTTCTCCACAAGGCATTGTATGGCCTTTGCTAAGCACCCCAGGATTGGTATTGTGAGCTCCGGTATCTAGCTTTCACTAAACCAGACATTAGCTTCATTTGTAAATAAATTAACTCAATTTATGCACCCCCTCCTCTAAACACTGGCAGGCCGTCAAACGAGTGTTACACTACTTAAAGGGAACCCTTCACTATGGTGTCTTTATTTCAGCAAATACTCCTATCACACTTCATGCCTTTGTCGATGCTGATTAGGCTGGGGATCGTGACACTCGACACTCTACCTCGGCCTACGTTGTCTTTCTTGGACGCAACCCATTAAGCTGGAGTTCAAAGAAGCAAAGTACTGTTGCTCGCTCTTCCACGAAAGCCGAGTACCGTGCTACTGTTAATCTTCTCCGTGAACTTCATATTTCTCTAGCTTACATTCCAACAGAACTCATGATCAACATGCCGATTCTCTCACCAAACCAGTTGCAAGGACTCAATTCCTCTCACACTGGTCCAAGCTTGGGATCCTTCCTGATCCTCCTCGCTTGCGGAGGCATGATAGAATATAATATTGTTTTAATAATATTGTAACATTATTTGTTCCCTCAGGTCCTAGGACATCCAAACTCAGAGCAAGTGAAGAAGTTTGAGCTATGGCTGAGAGCAAACAACGGGCGTAGTGGTGATTGTAGGGGTTCCAATTGGCTGGTTATGCAGATGGGTAATAAGCAGGGGCAGGGGCGGATCCAGGATAGAAGAGTGGGGTGGGCTTAGCAGGGGAAAAAAATTGTTATTGCAAACAAAAATTTTAGCTTAGGCTGCTTAGGGCCGTAATCGAATTGAGTTTTTTTCGAACTACGCGAATTCAAGCGTGATTTCGAATTTAATTTAGTGATCTGAGCTTAATAAGCTTTTTTTAACTCGAACACGAGCTAGATTTTGAGTTCGAATAGTTGTTCAAGCTGAGTTCGAGCATAGTGGTATTCGGTTTGATCCGGACTCAAGTCTATCAATAACTCGTAAATTATAGAAATAAATTTTATTTATCTTAAAATTTAAACATTTTCATTGCAATTTTTTAAATATATTTGAACACTAAAAAAATAGAGTTCATATATCTATTTTATTCAAGCCGAGTTTGAGCATAAATTAAATTAATAATCAAATACAATTACATAACTATTAAATAAAACTAATGCACTAATAAAACTATTATAATTTTATTAATGATAATAATAATAATTTTAATAATAATAATAATAATAGAAATAGTATATGACCAAATAAGGATAATTGATAAGGAGTAACTTAGTTATTTTAATGATTATAATTATGTTTAAATTTTATTGCTTATAAAAGTTACTCATGGTGACTTGGGTCAAATAATAGTAATATTCATATAATAATAACAGTATAATAATAATAATATAATATTAATCATAAAATTTATGTTGTAAAATAATATTGTAAACTTGTAATATAAAGTGCTTTCATTGATGGTGTGGGTGAGTGGGTGAGATGAGATTGCATAATTTGCAGCTGGCTCCAAACACCAACTACATACGATTGTTACGTTTAATACTCCTTATGTAAAGTTTTGCTCCTCAATTTATCCCACACCGACTGCAAGGATGGTTCACCCTCCTGAGTGTCCTATATATAAATCATTTCTTGGTGCAATCACGTCAAGCTCTATTATTACGCATCGGGATCATTTGTTCTCGGGATCATTTGTTCTCAGAATCATTTGTTCCCATGACTATAAGCTTTAAACAAAGTTTGGGCAGCCTTTTGCTTTTAGAGCTTCTTAGAACACTTCCTTGTAGACTTGGGGTGGACTGAAAATTAAATCTCTTTCTATACTAACAAAAAAAATTTGGTTAGGCTGGGCTAGAACCCACCCTAGGCCCTACATAGATCCGCCCATGAGCAGGGGATAAACAAGGCGGTTGGTACGAAAGGGTCCATATTGTTGAGAACTCTAGTGGAACTTGCCTCTATCTTCAATGTAGGTGAGCCTAGTGCTAATAATGGGAAGTATACGGATGCGTACATGTGGCGCAACAAAAGCGGCGTCGGGTGGAAGAAGAGTGGGCAGGAGACAAGTACACGATGATGGAGTTGGAAAATAATGACGGAAAGAAAGGGACTGAGGCGAGCTTTGGATGACAAGCTCGCTGGAAAAATTGCAGGATTGATGTGCACTTTGGCACTGTTATTTATTTCAATTTCATTTTTATTCTGAGATAATGTCTGTGTTTTGCTTCTGTTTTGTTTTTAGTCGTTTTAGCGTTAGGGAGTTTTTCATTTTTATCACCTTTGAAAGTACAACAAACAACAGTACATGCGTAAAAACTGGATGTCACAGAAAAACACCCATAATTTCCAACGGTTACCTCTGACTCATTGATAAGAACCTCTATTTTCGATCAGTTCTTTTTTTATTACATCTCCAAACCAACCAATTCAATGTGTTGTTATAAAAAATAGAAAAAACAATAACTTCTTGCAACAGAGAAGTATATCTCCTTGAATCAACGATAAGATCCTCCAATCCGATTACTTCTTTCTCTTTTATACTTAGTTACATTGTAGAATATCCTTCAATCTTACAAAATTGAGAGTCCTAATATTGAAATTGATGTAAATTAAAAGTAAATTTTGCAGAGGTTTTCTTACAAGTAAGTAATTCTTAAGAACACCTAATCATTCCTTATTTATCATGGTTGACCTTTGAGTTAACCATTCTATTCTTACTAACAATTATTCTTAAGAACACCTAATCATTCCTTATTCATTCTTAAGAAATTGATGACCTAATCATTCTTAAGAACACCTAATCATTCCTTATTCATCATTAACTTGTCATTAAGTCTATAAGAAATACACAAATGGAAATCATACATTTCTTACTTGACCAATAATGTCCAGGTTCTTACATTCTGAATCAAAACAAACCATTACCGCATTCTAAAAAACTTAAAGTATAAAGCTTCAAATAAATATATTAAAAACTTGAGGCATTAGAATTAGTCTATTACATAAATGAGATGAATATTATAATCTATAGAAAAAGTGTAAGTCACTACACGATGAAGAACAATGAAGAACAAAATTATAGTACATATGTCGGATTTGAGTAGAAAAACGGGCTTAGAAGAAGTAAAAAAGGTCATGATCGATTAATATAGAACATCCACAATGATAGTAAGGTTGCATAAACAATTCAGTAGTAGAAAATAAAATAAGGGATCTCTTCATAGGACAATCCTTTCCATTTGAAATGACATACCCAAAAGAATGCTACAGTAAATGCCCTATATATAAACAAAAGAAAATGGAAAGAGATCATTGTAGCAAAAGATATACCTGATTGAGGATAAGGCATTTCACTTGGTCTTGCCCATACTCAAGAAGAGACGCACACAAGTATCATGGTAGCAAAAGATACCTGATTGATAAATTTTAACAAACACCTTCCTTACAAAATATTTACAATGTCATCGAAGCATATTAACAAACACCTTGTGTATTATTACAATAAAAAAGTATGAGTCACATTCACTGCACAGAATATTCCAAAGTTGTCTTAGTACATGCTCTATGGAAGTTTTACCTAAAGGCAAGAAAATGAGTTTTCTTATATACGGCAAAAGCTCATCACATGAAAAGGTTTATTGCAAACTTGTGCTAGTGTAAATCGCAAAAAAGTTTAAAACTTGAGCATATAAGTAAATCTTCTATACTTGATGCAAAGGAGGGAAGGTCTTTGATACTCGTGCAAACCTTTAGGAAGCGTGCAAGATGATTTCGGTAGAAGAAAGAAGAATCTGAAATCAATGGATTATATCAAAAATTCGTGTGCGTAGAGTTTTCTAGAGTTCCATCTAACTATCTAAGTAGATTAGCAGAGAAGTTCGAACCTGAAATGAAACGCAGAAACGGAAATGAGGATGAATGGGAAACCGTGGATTTCCAATGCAGATGTAACTGGTGTACATAGAAAATGGTTTGGGCGGGATTTTATTTCTATGTGTGGTAGTTCTATTAAGGAGAAGATTTTAAATTAGTTTCTGAATGTGTAAATTTTAATTATTAAAAATTGTGTTAATTATCGATAGGGAGGATTGACTTTTGTTATTGATTGACCAAAAAATGTTGACTTTGCAAAACAATTTGGAACGGAGGGAATATGTATCCATATTTTTTTTCATTCAAAAACTCATTGAATTACCGTTACGATTGAATTAATTAAAATTACTAAAATCATTGTAACTAGCTCGTGTCAATAGGCGGACGACCGCACCTAGACTTTCTAGGGTTGCATGAGTTTGGACGGATAACAGCTTGAGTATCTCGCCAGCTTTCTTGTTTGAGGAGCTTCGCCGTCTGGAGTGCGCTGCACAATCTGCGGCATCGGCGAGTGGAGTGCATTTGGCGCAGAGTTGCAGGCAACGTAGGAGAAATTTGCTACCCGTAAGGAAAGATTAATGGCGGATATCAACGAACAACAGGAGATCGAGAGGTTGGCTAGTGCGTATGGAAACATGGAGATGGAAGATGGGGATGAATTTCTACAGGTAGATGCTCCAGCACCTGGTAGTGATGAAATCGGTTGGGCGTTGTGTAATACTTGAGATTTAATTTAAACGGATTAATAGTACTACTCATACCAACAAGATGCATCTCCTTTTAAGGGAGCTCAGCATCCAAGAACTCCAAAGTTAAGCGTGCTTGCACGGGAGTAGTCTTGGGATGGGTGACCCCCTGGGAAGTTTCTCAGGGCGCACACGAGTGAGGACAAAGTGCGCGGAAAAGGCTAGTGGCGGTTTGTGAGGACAGTACTAGAGGTCAAAAGTAACTACCTCGGGGCCTACGGGGCCGGGGTGTTACACGTTGGTAGGGACAATCACTTCCGAAAAATCAGTACGTTTTTCCTCCTTTCGTGATACCATGGCAAATATATGGAGACCAGTCAGGGGTGTCACTATTACTTAGTTAGGAAATAGAAGGTACATGTTTCAGTTTTATAACGAAAATTATATGCAAAAGGTCCTGGAGGAGGGGCCCTGGATTTTTGAGCAGAACCTGATTGTACTGGCTAGGTTGCGGCAAGGAGATTTACCTCTAGAGGTACCCTTAAACAGGGCTGATTTCTGGTTGCAGATTCACGATATTCGAGTTGGATACTTTTCTATGAAAAATGAAACTAAAATAGGTAACTTTGTTGAAAAATTCATTAAAGTGGATGAATATAATTTTTCAGTTAAGTGGAATCCGTTCATGAGGATAAGGGTTAGTATCGATTTGACCATGCCCCTAAAATGGAAGCTATTTTTGCAATCAGATGAAGGAAATAATTTTTGCGTCAGGTTTAAACATGAGAAACTCCATAGTTTCTGTTTCGCATGTGGTGTCATTAGGCATGCAGAAAGGTATTGCCCACGCTACCCCAATGGGGTGGGAAAGGAGGGAAAATTATCATTTGAACTAGAGCTGAGAGTTGTTAAGGGGAGGGTTATGTCGAATGAGAACAAATTGTTAGTCCTAGTGAGTAAAAGGAAAGAGAAAGGAGGTGAAGACACTAATAAGGCATCATGTGGGGATAACTATGAGACTCCACTAGAGCAAGAACATCATGATGCATGAGAGAAGATTAAGCAGAAGCGTAGGAGGGTTGACCAAGGAGTGAAAGAATCAGTGCACGCGGGCATGGAGATAGAGAGGAAATTGAAAAAAAAAACGGGGAGGAGGCGGGCTACATGCCCGTCTGACGCACAATTGAAGCTTTGGCAGGAGGATGTAGCAAGGATGGAATCTAGAGAGCTCCATGAGTTGCGGTTTTATTTCTATTGCATTTTTTATTTCAGACTAAATTTACTCGTTGTTTTTGTTTCACGCAATATAAGGGGGTGGGTCTTTGTCTGGTTTTGTGGGCATTAGCCGTAGGTTCTTTGGTTATTTTCTAATTATTCAAATTAAGTTTGTGGGTGGAAGTGATAAGGCTTGTATGACCGGTAAATGCTTCGAAACTCTCACATGGTTAGCGAATAATCTCACTCTTCTTAGTGTGATCTATTCTGTGTCTAGTCAGAGATTGAGATAGCCATTTGACTATGCAAAACCTCGTAGAGAGGTTTGGCGTTTCTTAATGGTGGGATTGTTATTATCACTGCTATTTGCTATAATATAAATGTTTTCCTTTCAAAAAAAATCATGGTAACTCGAGTGTATTTTGTCTATAGGAGTAATTATTTTAGCTATTTTTTCCAGTACATTCCGCCCCGGGCTTAGATCAGAATTATCTTCTTCAGCTACTCAACAATCAAGATTCAAGATGTGCCTGATCTATGATCTATTGTGTTAAATTGGGGCGTCCTCCTCTAAATATTTGAAACTAAAGTGGATCTCATAGCACTTCGATCGAATCGCTGAAACTATGAATTTCTTCAAATCGATTTTAGCCGATGATTCGGATTCTCCCGAGCCCGAAAATGACCGAGAGTCTGAGCAGCGCTCCCCATTCAGGCAACACGTAAATCCAGAAGAAACTGAGGAGGATGACGATGACGATGATCGGAATTTCCAATCAAGAGACGATCTCAATTCAAGCTCCAGCTCAACTACGGCCAATAGCAGTGCGGGTGGTTGGAGTTTCGGAGGTCTGATGAAGACTTTGGCCTCCCGATCCGAGTCCGTCCTCGAAACTTACCGCAGGGATCTGGAGGAATTCGGGTCTGGTCTCAAGAAAGAGACGGATCTAATCCGGGATGTTGCTAGCCGCGCGGTCAAGGAGCTCCCTGATGTCGGCGCGTCGGTGGCTCATGTTTCTTTGGGATCAGTCAGCAAAACCATTGATGGAGTGTTCAAATCAACCGCTGAGATCATTTCTCAAGGTAAAGACTCTCTCCTTCATGCACCTTATGAGGCAGCGGCCGAACCTGTAACCCCGGATGCTAGCCGGAACATGGATTCTCGTCGTTACAGTAGGCTTGATGCGCAGCTGACCACAATCCAAAATGATCCAAATACTTTCTCGGAGGAACCAGAGGATTTTGAAGAGTATAGGAAATGGAAATCAGAGTTCAACTTAAATGATAAGCGGGATGAGTTTGTAAACTTGATTGCAGAAAACAGTACCCTAGAGGGTGTTTACAAAAGGCTTGTACCTACAGGTGAGGTTGATGAAGAGACCTTCTGGTGTAGGTACTTTTACAGGGTGCATAAGCTCAAGCAGCAAGAGAGTGTTAGAGCTAAGCTTGTGAAGAGAGCAATATCTGTAGATGAAGAAGAAGTATTATCCTGGGATGTAGATGATGATGAGGATGATGGTGATCATGAGAAAACCAGTAATGCAAAAATAACTAGCAATGAACAGGGGAGTAATGAACAAGCTGGTAATGATAACAATCAAGATTCACCCATAATTGCAGAGCCAGTTATTACAGCTAATAATGATGAATCGAGAGATGTGGGTGCTGTTCCTGTTGACGAGAAGAGACAAACTGAAGCCAATGCTGATAGTTCTCCTGAAACGACTACTATTAAAAGCTCTATTGTGGAATCCAGTGGGGATAACAATTTGCCTGAAGAGAAGGCTGAAGAAAGTTTGGAAGGGGCCAAGGATACTTCTGCTTTAGTGAAGTCAGTGGAGGAGGAAAGTGATCAGGGAGCTTCGGGTAAGCGCAATGGCAATTCTTCTTTGCAGGAGGAAGATGAAGACTTTGGCTGGGACGAGATTGAAGATATTGAGAGTGGTGATGAGAAAAAAATGTCTTCTTGTGTTCAAAGTGCAAATAGGGATGAGGTGAGGAAAAGGCTTGCTGAAGAAGATGATGAGAATTTGAGTTGGGAAATTGAAGATGATGATGAGCCTGCTAAAGCTTGATTCTTGGCCAATCTCCTGAATTATTGTATTTGGATACTTGAGGTTCTCAACATAATTTATGAAAAGATATACAGCAGGAGCTTGCAAGTAAGACAAAGATGCACATTTTAGAGAGTTTCTATTTGTGTAGTTCGCCTGTTGTTTTTAAATTGTCTTCCATGTTGAAAACTTTCCTTGAGAAATTGCTTTGTTTGATATAGTAGTAAACTGCAATATTAAATTTGTTATTTTGTTGACAGTTAATCCCTATGCAATTGCCATTTTGTAACAAATGAACGATTGGGCAGTTTGAAGCGTCTGATTAATGGTAGCTATGAACCTCCTGTATCATTGTATGTCATTTTGAATTGTCTTGATCTCTAGACAGTGAGACTATTTTATACTTTTCATTACAACCCACTGGTCAACAGCCAGCAAGCTCCACTTCTTATGCTTTGTTCCAATAGAAATTGCCAAAAACGTTAGCAAGAAATTTCAAAATAGGACATTTTTATTCCCTAAACAATAGTAATTTCTGCTAAGCTTGGAAAAAACTTGGCAAAAACTGCCATGTTTAAAGCCTCATCATGCCAAACTTGGCAGAAATGAGTCCTATTTAGGGAAACAGTCTTATTTTTAAATTTCAAAATCTTTTTACTTCTATTTAGGAAATTTCCCCTATTTTGGAACAAATAGGGTATGCTTACCCTGGGAAGCCCCTCTATTGGCTGCCACCTCAATGCGGAGAGGTGGTAAATCGTGGTGCAGAGCGGTAAAGGTGGGGGATAGGCATATTGGTTCGTTTTAACTTTTAACCGAACTGAATTGTACCAAGCCGAACTAAATCGAGCCGAACTAAATCGAACCGAAATCGAATCATATATAATTAGGCTTGAGTTTTGGTAGTATTTCTTTCAAATCACAATAAACCGAACACACAGAAAGCAAGAAAACCGACCCAAAGTAAAATGATTCAATAAAATATTAATACTACATATATTATTAAAAAATAACAAATTGAAAACGAAGTAAACCAAACCAAATTGAAATTTAGTATAAATTTTGTTTGATATTTATTCTTTCATTTCGTTTCCAACTGAACAAAAAACCGATAAAACCAAACTGAAACCGATATGCTTTCCGGCTTTACCAACTGTGATTATATCTGTTCACCAATTTTGTTGTCTGAATTCGCTCAAAAGGATATGAAACCTCGAATCAGAGTAAAATGCATGCTGATTTTTCTTTTGAGGCAAAAGACATTGATTAAATCTTATTTTTCAACATATCATATGCTATTTACTTTTACAATAACTTCTTCACTATTGTATATAGACAAAGTTTATGTCTATATTGGACTTCAAATTAAATATGGAGTAAGTTTTTCATTTTTTTTTGTAATGTAAATTTGAAATGATTTCTAAAATGATGATCCTCTTAGTACTGGCTAGGTATTCCTAAATCATGATCTTCTAGTACAAATTTGTAAAATGCATAAGATCATTGGATTAACTATAAGTCTATTTTCCTTAACATTATACTAGTATTAACGGATTGAAAGGATTACATAAACTGATAAAAGCATTCAAATTTTATTTTACTTAACGTGTAATGGGCGAACTTTTTCAGAATTAAATATGTTAACCATATAAAAATGCACTTAAACAAAAGATTTTATAAACTTGCACGGATTTAGATAATAGCAAAATAGACATAATATATAATACATATTCTTATCAGATCGTATGCAGATTAGTTTAAAAAACTAGATCTCAATAGATCAAACATAACTTTTCAATCTAAAAGAACCATGCTTTTTGAGCTACATACTTGACCCGACCAAACTCAAGTAGTTCATATTAGACTACTTTTAAACAAAGGAGACCTATTTTGCCCAATATTTGTCCCACTTGATCAAATAAGACTAAATCAAACTTAAATATATTAAAATAAATTTAATCAAGCCTCACTTAATAAATTAGAATAGTTCAAATCACACACAACCATACAATATAAAAAATTTCGAGAGGTGGAGCCGATCACTGGCCAGAACTGATCCGGCGATAGCCCGGACATGCTACCGAGAGGCCCTGAAGCAGATGAACACCCGTGGAATGCGGGTTAACAGTATTGAGGTGGAGACCCACCGAACGGAGTTCGAGGCACATCCGGAACATGCCACTCTCCTCGAGCAAATTGACCTGGATTCCCCCCCCCCCCCCCCCGAACCGGAAGGTAGCTATCGGGGTAGATCTAAAGGCTGACATCCGGGATGACGTGATTGACGTCCTAAAAAAGTTTCAGGTATTATTCGCCCGGGGACCAGAAGATATGCCAGGTATTGACCCGGAGATAATCTGTCACAAGCTTGCCGTTCGACCTGATGCAAAACCAGTCCAGCAAAAGAAACGATATCAAGCAATCGAACGGCGAGAATTCACAAAGCAGGAAGTGGCCACCCTGCTGAGAATAAAACACATCCGTCCAGTAATCCACGTCGAATGGCTATTCAATGTGGTCCTAGCTCCAAAACAATCTACTTGGAGGATGTGTGTGGATTACTCGGATCTGAATAAAGCCTGTCCCATGGACCCTTATCCAGTACCGAGGATTGATCTGTTAGTAGATGAAACGGCCGGATGTGAATTGTTGAGCTTCATGGATGCATTCCGGGGATACCATCAGATTTTCATGCACCCAGTTGATGCAAAGAAATCAACATTCGTTACTTCGGATGGTGTGTTTTGCTATATTGTCATGCCATTCGGATTAAAGAACGCAATGGCAACTTTCCAGAGGATGATCAGGATGCTGTTCAAAGAAGTATTGGGAATCACAATGGAGGCTTATGTTGATGATATTCTGATCAAAAGCCGGAAGAAGGAGAATCATGTCCTGGACATAGAAAAGGTGTTCGGGATAATGCAGAAAGCTAATATGAGGCTGAATCCCAAAAAATGTGCTTTTGCCGTAAGAGGGGGCAAATTTTTGGGATACATGATGAGCGAGAAGGGGATTGAGCCCAATCCTGAAAAGGTAAAGGCAATTGTGGATATGGAGGCTCCTAGAAACCTCAAAGAAGTGCAGAGATTGACCGGTCGGCTAGCAGCTCTGAGCAGATTCTTATCCAAGCTAGCCGATCGAGCTATTCCATTCTTCTAGATCATGAAAAAAGCCAACCCCTTTGAAAGGACATCCGAATGTCAAACGGCTTTTGAAGATTTCAAGGCATATCTGTCTTCTCCCCTGGTCTTGACAAAACCCGATCCAGGGGAACACCTGTATATGTACCTTGCTGTAGCTGACCTGGCCGTGAGCACGGTATTGTTGAAAGAAGAAGATGGCATTCAACGGCCAATCTATTTTGTAAGCAAGACTTTGAACGGCCCGGAAACTAGGTATACCTTGCTAGAAAAAACAGTACTGGCCCTGATAGCTGCTATTAAACGTCTAACACCATATTTCCAGACCCATCCGGTAACTGTGTATACCCACAGCCACTCGCCACCATCTTGAGGAACCCAATGGCAAGTGGGCACATTACCAAGTGGAGTCTCCTGATCGGGAAATATGAGGTGGATTTCAAGCCTCGACCTACTATCAAAGGGCAGGCCCTGACAGATTTCATTGCAGAATGTACCGCTCGGCCCTCGGAAATAGATTCACAGAACAATGGGCTCGATAACTGGTGGGAAATGTATGTGGATGGTGCAACTAGTGCCAAGGGTTGTGGAGCCGAAGCTGTGATCACATCGCCCAAAGGGTTCAAAGCATATTATTCCATCCATTTTGACTTCAAAGTAACCAACAATGAGGCCGAGTATGAGGCCCTTATTGCGGGTTTAAAATATGCGAAGTCCTTGGGCGCCGATCGGTTAAAAGTCCGATCGGACAGTCAATTGGTGGTGCATCAAGTGAATGGCACAGCTGAGGCTAAAGAAGAGAGAATGAAGGCTTACAAAGAGATAGTTGAAGAGTAGATAAGCAAATTTGAACAGGTGGTGCTCGACCAAATATCCAGGATAGAGAATACTGAAGCAGATATCTTATCCAAATTAGAGAATGCAGCATTCGACGATCGGGTACAGGAGATTCCGGCTCATATCCAACGATTTGCCCATCGAGAAACATTGGCAACCCCAGCAATCATGGTGCTCCAGATCGAGGCCATATCTTATGTCGTCCCTAGCTGGGTCATAGATATGACCAACTACCTGAAAGACGGAACCCTCCCACAAGATAAAAATCCTGCTTATCAGATAAAATGCATCATGAGGAGGGCTTCCATGTTCGAATTAGTGGACGGACAGCTGTACAAAAAGACATTTGGTGGGCCGTATTTGAAATGCCTCCCACCCGATCTAGCGGCGGCCGTGATGGAAGAAATTCATGAGGGTATCTGCTCCAGCCACCAAGGGCCCAAGACACTGGCCAGAAAAATCATCCTGCAAGGGTATTATTGGCCGACTATCCAACAAGACTGCTTCGCACATACTAGAAAATGTAAAGTATGCCAATTATACGCATCGGTCCCCGGACGGCCAACCACTTTCTACACTCCAATGACGGTGGCCCTTCCGTTCGCAAGATGGGGGATCGACCTATTAGGTCCTCTACCTACGGCCCCTGGGAACAACAAGTATATAATCGTGGGGATAGATTACTTTACCAAATGGGTAGAGGCCGAGCCACTGGCCAGCATCACATATGTCAAATGTCGAAAGTTTGTCTGGAAGAATATTATTTGTCGGTTCGGAATCCCTGAACAGATTGTAACTGATAATGGAAGGCAGTTCGTAAGCCGGAATTTTGAGAACTACCTGATCAAATGGGGAATCAAGCATTCTAGAGCATCTGTGGCATACCCTCAGGCGAATGGCCAAGTAGAGAATATGAACCGTACTATCATGGATGGTATGAAGAAGCTGGAAGAATACTCCTCATTGTGGTCTGATCAATTAAATTATATCTTATGGACTTACAGGACTACACCCCGAACGGCCACAGGAGAAACTCCATTTGCCCTTGCTTACGGTTTCCAGGCCAAAGTACCCACAGAGATCCTAGTTCCCACACACCGAACGGTGCATTACAGCCCAGAGCAGAATGAGGACAACCTACAGGCCGAATTGCACTTCATAGAAGAAAGAAGGGATCTGGCAGCTGCACGAATGGATGAGTATCACAGAGCCACGAGAAGATACTTTGATAAATAAGTAAAAATTCGTTCAATCGAAGTAGGGGACCTGGTGCTAAGGAAGCGAGAAAAAAGCAAACCTCTCGAAGGTGGAAAAATGGCACAAAATTGGGAAGGTCCCTACCAAGTATGTAAGAAGTATGCTTTAGGAATGTT